CAGGGGGCAGCTCAGCTCGAGTGGTGGCCTACCTGAACAGCATCTTCTTTGGGCAGCACCCGAAGAGTGGCATGTCCCAGCACTCGGTGCGCGAGACGCGGATGATTGCGCGCGCGATCGACGGGCTGCTCGAGGGGGGGCTGCTGGAGGTGGGCGACCTGCTCATCCAGCGGCTGAACGCCTTCGAGCTGAGTGTGCGCGACAAGGACCGGGCCGTGGCCAGGCAGCTGGAGCTCATGGGCGACCAGCCGGGGATCGTCAGCTTGTCGGAGCGCCAGGCTGCCGCCCAGCACGCGCTGATGCAGGCGCGCCTCGCGGAGGTGAGGAGCAGGGGGCGCCTGGGCGCGAGCCCTGGGTAGGGGCTCCGCGTGGCTCCTCCCTTGAGGCGACCCTCCCCCGCTCGCGGGGCCGCCGCGGGCGGGGGCGGCTCCGCTCCGCCTCAGACGGGGAGCGCCCCGTTCTGGAAGCGGAGTCATCGTGGCCGCCGCAGGGCGAAGGCGAAAGCCCAGCCGCGCCCGCCGTCGCCCGGGCGTTCGGCGGGGCCCGCCAATGCAGCCCGTCCTGGTGGGGGAGCTCCCGACGGCAGAGTGCGATTCGCCCCCGAGGCCGAGGCGATGGCGGTGGATCGACGCTCGGCAGCGGGCGCGGTCGGCGGCAACCCTGTCAGGGGGGTCATGCTGCGACCAGGCGCCGACCAGCCCCCTGGCAACCCCGAAGCGCCTCCGTGGATCGAGAGGCTCCGACCCCCCCTCCCGAAGGGGCGCGGCGGAGGATCGAAGGGCGCGAAGGGCAAGGATGCCGAGGGCAAGCCAAGGGCAAGGGCAAGGGCAAGGGCAAGAAGGCCTAGCCGCCCAGCCGCCCTGGCGCCGGGAGAGGACCCACCTCCCAGCTGCTGCTGCTGCCGTGAGTTCCGAGGTGCTGCCGCCAGCCCTCGGCGCGCCTGCTGGAGGAGACCGCGCCGCCCTGCCACCCTGGCACCGCCCGCGGGGGGGGCCCTCAGCCGCCGCTGCTGCCGTCAGCCCTGAGGTGCTGCCGTCAGCCCTCGGGCGGCCTGCGGGAGGAGGCTCCGCCTTTGGCGCGCGCCCGCCCTGCCTGGGGGTCGCTGCGAAGGAGATCGAGGAAGCCGCGCCGCATGATGTGCCGCAGGTGCTGCTGAAGCTGGCGCGGTCGCTGCCCGCCAGACTTGGCGAGGCTGTCGGGCGTCCGGCACAGGATGGAGGCAGGCCAACTTCCAGGGCAGAGGGGAGACAGCGTGACCTCCTCCCCTTGTCCTTCGTGGCACTCCCAGACGCAGGGCTTCGCGCGGACTGGGGGCGACCTCGTGCCAGCAGGTGAAGGCGGCGAAGCAGTGGGCGTACGTGCCCATCATCGGCCTCAACCACATGTGCGCGAATTGCTCGGCCGACCCCGAGGGGTGTGCAGCGCGGGCTTCCCAGCCCAGCGCAGCTCAGGAGCCTGCGCATGCTGGCTCGGGCAGCTCTGCTTTTCATCGCGCGGGGCCCAGAGCCCGTCGGGCCCACTGACTGGGCCAGCGAGCTGGCCAAGAAGCGGGTGGCCTGCGACGGGGAGGAGGTCGGCGCAGCAGAGACGCTCACGGTCGAGCAGGTGCTGCCCGCGTTGCCGCCCCTCGGCATCGCGACCTCCGTGGAGGCGGCGCCGCTCTGCGACCACGTGGTGCGCCGGGCGCTCGTCGACGCAGACTCGATGGTCCTCCCCGAGGGTGCCGGGCCAGCCGTGCCGCCGCAGGCCAAGATCTGGGCTTCCAGCGAGGTCTGGGACGAGCTGGTGGAGGTCTTGTGGGCTCGTGGACTCGTGTGGCCCATCGACATGACGGACGTCCCTCACGTGGGCGGCGAGCTAGTGCTGTGCGGGGCTCTCGGAGTACGGAAGGGAACCGAGCGGACCGTGAAGCTGCGCGACGGCTCCTACGGCCACATCCTGCGCCTCATCATGAACCTCGTGCCGTCGAACGTGATGCAGCGCGTGGTGGGCGGGGACATGGACCAGTTGCCCGTCTCGAGCCAGTGGTCGACCATCACGCTGCTGTCGCGCGAGATCATGCTGTGGGCCTCCTCCGACAGGCAGTGCTTCTTCTACGCGTTCAGGTTGCCGCCGTGCTGGAGGGGGCTCATGGCCTTCAGGACTCCTGTGCCTGGCCGCTTGGTTGGCCGGCCAGACAAGGCCTTGGTGCACGTCGCCAGCGCCGCAGTGGCGATGGGCTGGATCTCAGCCACAGGAGTGTCGCAGCACATGCATCGCAACGCGTTGAAGGCAGGGCGCCCGGGCTCTGCCGGACTGGAGCCAGAGGCGGAATGGCGCGGAGACCGCGGGGGCCCACTCACGTCCCGAAGCTCGGACACGACCGCTTGGGAGGTCTACGTCGACAACCTGGAGATCCAGGGGCTGATCGACCAGGCGGACGCCGAGGCTCAGCCCCCTGCTCGAGCTCGCGAGGGCGGCCTACGAGGCCCACGGCACGCCTGGCGTGGCGGCCAAGGGCAAGGACGTGCGCAGGCCCTCGGGGACAGGATCGACGGCGACCTGGGCCGCAAGGAACCGCCCAAGGGTTGCGCGAGCCAGCTCATCTCGCTCACCCTGTGCGTCCTGGCCCAGCGCGGCGCCTGCAGGAAGCACTGGCAAATAGTCCTGGGCCGCTGGGTGCGCGTGTTCGCCCGCCGCCGTGGTGGGATGGCCTCCTTCGAGCACGTGTGGCGGTGGATCTCCGGGCCCCCCCGCGGGTGGGTCCTCCCGCTCCCAGTGGTCGACGAGCTTTTGCTCGCGATGTCGTTCGCGCCGCTCTACTTCGCCGACTTCAGGCTGAGCATCTCGCCCGAGGTCACCTGCTCCGACGCCGGCCCGTTCGGAGGCGGGGTGGTGGTGGGCCGAGGCCTCGCGCCAGCGGGCGAGGCGGCTTTGGCCCGCAGCGGGCGCTTGCCCTGGCAGCGCAGCGAAGACGAACTGGTGATCATCGGCCTCTTCGACGGGATCGCGGGTGGCCGCTGCGCCTGGGCCTCCCTGGGGCTCGACTGCTGCTGGTGCATCTCGTCCGAAATCGACCGGGTGGCGACGCGCGTGGCAAGGAACGCGTTCCCAGACCTCAAAGGAGCTCGGCGACGTCAAGCTCGCCACCAGGGAGGTCCTCGTCGCTTTCCGCAAGGGGTGAGTTTTACTGCTGATGATCTGTTGTGCTACTCAGACTACCTGCCCCTCGTCAAGGGGCTGCGGCAGCCGCGGGCTCAGTTGTGTCTAGTAGTTCGATGCTCGATCTGTGGGTGCGGATCTGGTCGGCTCCGGATGATCGCGGGCCTGGTAGGGTCGAGGTCCTTTGGGCCAAGAGGCACTCCTCGGCCCAACAGCGGGGCCAATTCGTCATTGGAGAAGAGGAATGAGTTTTTCTTGAATTGGCGTGCTGATTATTTTGCAGGATGGGCCCCCGATAGAGCGGCCCCCAGTCTTGAGCAGGTTGATGTCGCTCATTTCGTGGATCGAGTCACTTCCCACACGCTCGACCGCCCGTCGGCGGTGCATAAGGGGGGTGGTCGAACATACTCCCAGGAGAGTTGCTGATAGGCTCGGCCGCCCGCCACCGCGCCCTTCCTCCCTCCCCTCCTTCCAGGTCAGGAACATGAGGTTGCAGGGCGCTGGCCGCGGGCTTAATCTTGCTGGTCCATTCCTACGGTGCCAAGTGTGTGGGGGGGGAAGTTTAAGTTGAGGGGCCGTGTTCAGGACTTCTGCCCAGGTCCCTGTCTCGGCCCTTCCCACCTCTCCCTCCGACCCACTTGCCCACCACTTGTACCCCTCTTGTGCTATCGCTCGCAGGCTGATAGTCCTGCGTGGAGTTTTTTCTGTGAACGCTGTGGCGCCCATGCATGTGCCAGGAATGTTCAGAGTTTGGCCAGGCCGTGCAAGACAGACCGTCCCCGTCCCAAAGCAGGGAAACAGGTGCTGTCCAGGCTGGCGAGGGGGCTGCCTCCCAAGAGTGGAAGTACGTTCTCTCAGGCGTGAGGTCTGCGAAGTTCCCGGGCTTGACCTGGTCTCCACGGGTTTGCAGATCAGACCCTCCTCCCCCTCCCCCTCCTCCCCCTCGCTCGCCGCCGCCTGATGCCGAGGGCTGCCGGGCGCGCGCGGGCTTTTGCGCCAGGCGCCGGCTCTCCGCGGACCGCACGCCTGTCGCGCCCAGGTCGCCGGGAAGGCGCCGGCGGCTCCTTGCGCCCGCAGCCGCAGGGCTTGCAACGCCCACCCGCACCACTCACTGTCTCGCGGTCCATGCGTGCCCGTCGTGAAGCAGGGCTCGAGCTGAACGGTGTTTCGTCGATTTCGGCGGCCGTTTTCGTTCTCATTTCGTTTCGCAGCGAGAGGCAAAACGAAGACATAACGAAGGATAGCGAACACAAGAGGAAGACGAAACGCACTGTTTACCGCGAGCGACCAGGTGAGGCGAATTAAGAGAGTTTCCCGTCCTACCGCGCAAGGGTGCGCTACTTGAAGGCAGGAGGGCCCCACGGAGTTCTCCCGCAGGTCCGCGACCGCTTGGAGACCCAGGCGGAGCCGCGGCCGCCCCCCGAGCCCCACCCCCGGACCCGAAGAGTCGGGGTCGGAGGCTGCGGGGGGCAGGCGGACAGGGGAGGACGGGCCGAGAGGTTCCGAGGGCGTTCGGGCTGCGTGAAGACGAGCTCGAGCACGCCCGAGACCTCGGCCGCCTCGCCCTCGAGCGGGGCGATCCCGACAACGCCGACGAGCGTGAGTCGGGTGCCGAGTTCGATTTCGGTGAGTGTTGTGGGCAAACTCCTGCGTTTAGCGCAAACCCACACCATACCACACCCGCTCCTCCTCCTCCTCCTCCTCCGCGTCCTCTCCTTCGTCTTCCCCCCCCCCCCCACTTCCCGTTGCGCTTCCGCCGTCCACTCCTCCCCTGTCCTGCCCCCCGTCCGCGGCTGTGACAGCCCGCGCCTCTGCTCCGCCCCACCCCGCCCACTCTGGGTAGCCTTGCTCCCGCGGAGGCTCATCGCCGAGGCCAGCGACGAGTTCACCCTGGGCCGCCAGGCAGATGCCCACGAGGCGCCCCTGCCCCTTCTGGTTGCGACCGCGGTCCTCGTCTGCCGCGCGCTGTCTTGCCGCGGCCTCCCCCAACTCGGCTGCTGGAGCCGCTGTCACGTCGTGCCGTTCTTCGTCTGCATTTGTCGGTGAGCCGTTGGCCAGTGCGGATTTCTGTCTGATCCTGGACTACGGTTCAAACCTTTGGCAGCAGCCTCTCCCGGGCACCTTCTCGCCACAGTCCAAATCACGCCTTGTTTTGCTGCTTACTGCGAGCTGCCGTGACTGCTGTCATCATCTGCCATCGGTGCGGGGAGGAGGAGGCGGAGGAGGAGGAGGAGGAGGAGGAGGAGTTTTTCTGTGGTCCGGTGGGCTCCGAGGGCTTCCAGGGACTTCAGGAGCCCCTTCCCTCCTCCGCCTCCGACTCCCCCCTTTCCCCCCCCTCACTCCCCCTGCTGCCTCCACCTCTGCCCGTCCCTCCCCCCCTCTCCTCCCCGCCCTCCCCCCTCTTCGGTCTCCTCCCTCTCGTCCTCCTTCCTGGCAATGGCTCCCATGCGCTCTTGTCGCCGACGGCCTCCTCTTCCTCCTCTTCTCCTCTTCTTGTGACCTCCTCTTCCTGTGACCTCCTCTTCCTGACCTCTTCCTCCTCTTCTCCCCTGACCTGTGACCACCTAGATCCTGTGACCTCCTCTTCTTCCTCCTGCTCTCCTCCCCCCATTCCTTCGGGCAGGCAGACGGGGGAAGGCTGCTGCCCTCGACTTCGGTGGGCCCTCCGTTGGGAGACCGCAGTCGTTGGAGGACGGGAGGCGCTTGCTTTTCGGGCCCGCCTCCCCTCCCTCCGCCTAATTCAAGCTTCGCGCGGCCCGCTTAGCTTCGACCGGAAGAGGTGCGCTCTCGACCCGCGGATCAGAAACAGTTTTGCTGGCCCGAACGAGCAGACATCTGCATGACATCGTGGGCCTAGGCAGATAGTAACTGTCGGTTTTGTTAGGAAGGCTCTGGCGTACACCGCCATTCTGATGCTGGTGGTGGGAGAGAAAGTGGTTGGGAATGAGCGGAACGTATGAAGTCGGCCTGATAGAGTAGGACACCAGTGGTCGCCACGGCTGACTCCGCCTGTGTTTTTCATCATCTTGTTCCAAAGAGGGGGTTCTTAATATGAACGTAACGCCTCTTCTTCCTTCTTTTCTTTTGCGTTATCCTACCTCTCCTCCTCAACCCAGTTATTCATAGGCCCTTCATATTCGTAGCTCACCTTCATACTTATCATACTCCGACCCACTCACACTCAGATCTACTCACACTCAGACTTACTCATACTGGAACTCACCCATACATAGAACATTCGCATGGATCATTCGGGATCAGACTCGTCCTCACTCATACTCAGAACCATTCATTCTCAGACTCACTCACACTTAGACACTCACACTCATATCTTATGTTCAATCATATTCCTCACAATCAGACTCACCCATCATACTTACCTATACTCAAGCGCACTCACACTCGCACTCACCCACACTTTCATTTGCAATCAGGCCCACTCATACTTAGCACCCCCATACACACATCAATTCATATTCAGACTTTTATGACCACCGCGATGTAGCCGGCATAGCACTTGGGTGCTCCAAGGGGGAGCCGCCAGGGGGTATCTCACGGGCCTTTTCGCGTTCAGATTGCTGGGATGTTTCGAGCGAGGCGCTCGTTTGGCCCCATTGATTCTTCTCTTTTCAGGGCCCCGTGATCACCGCGTTGTGGCATGCGTAGCACTTGGGCACTTCAAGCTGGGGCCGCCAGGGGGCATGTCTCGAACGAGGCGCTCGTAACCCCTCCAATCCCCCTAACGTCACCCCTGGGGGTGGTTCAAATGGGGTATGGTGGACCCCCTCCCCTTGACCCTTTCAGAGCCAACACGCATTGAGGGGTTCAGGGGCAATTTCCCCTGATGGGGGAATCTTTGGGGGGGCTCTTGGGAACCCTCCCCTCAACCGTCCTCCAATCTGCCCTGAGAGGGGGTTCAGGCGGGTCCAGGGGACCCCCCTCAAAAACTAAGATATTGAGGGCCTCTGCCGCGAGGTTCCAGCGCGAGTCAATGAGCTGTGGCTTTGCAGGAGCGCTTGCTACTTCGCAACAAAGCAATTCTCAACGTCATGTGCGCCATGCCATGACCACAATCCCCGCCAGGCCTCGCAGCGTAATCGCATTCTATCATTGTCTTCGTCGCTATTGCTGCCATCCACACTACCACCATGGACCATGGCGATCGCTACGTTCATTCGTATCAGCCAGCAGCAACAGGCACCGAACGTGGAAGTCTCGCCTGTCTGTCAGGTGGGGATGGGAACACGGGTGGCTCCCCTGGCACTCTCTCCCCCCACACCCCTTGTGTCTTTTTTCTCATTCATGCTCACCATCCCGCCGCCCGCATCTTTCCTTAAGTCGGGCCTGTCCCTCTACAGGGGGAACATTCAAGCATAGTTTTGAACTAGTCGGGGGACTATCTTTTGACTATCTTGAGTTTTTTTTTGTGTATTTTTTGGTGGGGGGGCTATTTTTTAAATTTTTCGTCCAAGATCCGCCCGCAGGGGGACGCGCCCGACATAAATCTACTCCCACCCGTCCTGCTCGGGACCCCACCTCGCCCCCCTGGGATGCGACATCGCGCCCCGCCCGTCCGCGCGTCGCCCCCACTGCAAACAGGAGGAACACGTAGAGGACGCGGAGAAGGAAGGGGGGGAAGGAGGATGAGGATGACGAGGAAGAAGAGGGAGGAGGAGGAGGGAGGAGGGAGAGGAAAGGCAGGAGGAAAGGCAGGAGGAGGATGAGGAGGATGAGGAGGAGGAGGAGGAGGAGGAGGAGGAGGAGGAGGAGGAGGAGATGAAGAAGATGGAGGACGAGGAGGATGAGAAAAGATTCCCCCGCCGTCGTCGTCCCCTTCCTGCCCATGCTCCTCCTCCTCCTGGTCTCTGCCACCCCCCTCTCTCCCCCTGGCGGCAGCTCTGTCTGCCCGGCACCGCCGCGCGCCGGTGAGGCCGTGATGCTGCTCATAAACAAGTGGGTGGAGGGCTGCTTGGCGTCGGGCGACGGCACCCGCGCGGACTGCTCGAGGCTGGGATACCCAGAGAAGGAGCAGCTGGAGGCCAACAGCCTCATCGGCCACGTGTTCGGCCAGGCCTCCTCCTCCTCCTCCTCCTCCTCCTCCTCCTCCTCGGACTCCCTGCGGAAGGGGCGGCGGGGGTGGGGAGCGGGCTGGGGGGTCCCTCAGATCTGGGCGTTGCCCTTTTCTCACCACGGGCGCTTTCGCCCGATGTCGGGCCCCAGGACCCTCACAGACCGATCCGGTTAAAAAATGCAAACAGATGGGGTCCGGGGCTCCGGTCGTGGTTTTCCACGATGTTGCAATTTTTTCGCAGCGTCGGCTCTCAGGGGTGGGGTGGGGGGGGGACAGGGAGAGGACGAGGGCTTCCGGACCAGGGGAGGCACAGAAAAACGTGCTTTTGACTATGGGGGGCGCGTTCCACAGTTCCTGGACCGACTCGTCCTGGTCTGGGGCAAAATGCTCAATCTTTGTGCGCGAGCTGTTGGGCATGAGTGTATGAGTGGTACGTTCAGTCTAGTTGCCAGTTAGTTTTGATAGATGTGCGAGGGTGTGCATGTTGGACATTGGTGCGCCTCCAAAAGAGCCCCAGAAGGGGACCAGACGGCGCCCATAGGAGCCTCGAGAGGGCGCCTGAAAAACGCCCGCCCAATCAGGCGCACGAGGCCCGAAGAGGCGCCCCCCACGAGAGCGCGGAGATGCCCCAAGAGTGGCCCCAAGATGGAGGGCACTAGTTTCCCCGACGTACTACTTCTGGTTGGCCCAAAAGTGGGCCCAGCTGAAAGGGGGTGGTGCAATAGATTTGCGGCACTTGTATTGCAAATGCATTGCGCTCGAGAATTGTATTGCACTGCGAGACGCCCCCCCACGCACCGGGCCCACACTCCCCCAAACAGGGGGGAATTGCACTGTGACGACCCAAGCGAAACCCAGAGCACCAAGGAGGAGGAGGAGGAGGAGGAGAAGGAGGAGGAGGAGGAGGAGGAGGAGGAGGAGGAGAAGGAGGAGGAGGAGGTGGAGGAGGAGGAGGAAGAGCAGAAGCAGGAGCAGGAGCAGGAGGAGGAGGAGGCGGAGGAGGAGGGAGGAGGACGAGGAGGAGGAGGAGGAAGGAGGAGGAGTAGAGGAGGAGGATGGGAGGGGGAGGGGGGGGGAGGGGGGGAGGATTTTTGGCATCCACAGCCACAGAGCCCCTCAAAGGGGGCAAACATATTCGAGATCGGCAGTGACCCCGACCCTCTTATGATCAGGGTGGAGACCTTTGTCCAATTTCGTCCAAACTTCACTCCGAGCGGGCGGGCTGCCAAGGCATTGCTTAGCAAGCCGCCTCATCTGACCTCCGTCGTGAAGGCAGCAAAGACCTGGCAGACACACGCGAAGCTTCCGTCGCTGAAATCCACGACGAGGCAGCGGTGCTCGAGCTCCCGCAACTTAGCGGGATCAACCTTTTAAAGCCGGTGAGCAGGAGGAGGACGAGGATGAGGATGACGATGATGATGAAGATGATGATGATGCGGATGATGATGATTATGATGATGATGATGATGATGATGATGAGGCTGAGGCTGAGGATGAGGACGAGGACGAGGATGAGGATACTGATGCTGATGCTGATGCTGATGATGATGATGATGATGATGATGATGAGGATGAATTGATGATGATGCTGCTGCTGATGATGATGGTAGTGGTGGTGGTGGTGATGATGATGATGCTGCTGGTGATGATGATGATGATGATGATGCTGCTGCTGATGATGATGATGATGATGCTGCTGCTGCTGTGCAAGCACATGCTGTTGCTTGTGATGATGATGATGATGATGATGATGATGATGATGTGATGATGATTGATGATGATGTATGA